AGGGGGGGTGGTCCTGATACCCCCTGATCCCCTCCCCAACCCCGCTAATCAGGGCTTGGGGGCGATTAAGACCCCCCGAAAGCCGCTTGAGCGGCGCCTAAGCCCGGCTTGGCCAGCGCYGGCCGCGGGATGAGCCCGGCTCAGCCGCGCTTTGCCCCGCTGAGCCCCGATTATTGGGGGGAGGGGGGGTCCCATCCGCCCCCCGCCCTATAAAGCGCCCGGCCCGTCGCCCCCCACCCCGTTGTTGTCACCGTCCGTGTCACCGTCCCCGTTGTCATTGTCACCGTTGTCATTGTCACCATGCAGAAATCGCGGCAGATGCGGGACGATCTCCCCGAGGATTTCTACATCCCCATGAACATGGAGACCAACAACATCACGGCGCTCAGCCCTTTCCTGGTCCCCCAGACCCACCTGGGCAGCCCGGGCATCTTCTGGGCCATGACGGCCTTCATGTTCACGCTGATTGTCCTGGGAGTGCCCATCAACGGGCTGACCATCGTCTGCACGGCCAAGTACAAGAAGCTGCGCTCGCACCTCAACTACATCCTGGTGAACCTGGCGGTGGCCAACCTGCTGGTGGTGTGCGTGGGCTCCACCACCGCCTTCTACAGCTTCTCGCAGATGTACTTCGCCCTGGGGCCCACGGCCTGCAAGATCGAGGGCTTCGCCGCCACGCTGGGCGGTGAGAGGGGTGGGGTGGGGAGGGTGGTCAGTGTGGTTTAGGGGATATTGGGTTTGGGGACATTGGGTGTGGGGTGTGGTCAGTGTGGTTTGGGGGTGATGGGTGTGGAGATGTTGGACATTGGGGTATGGGGTGGGTGGTCAGCGCGGTTTGGGGACATTGGGTGTGGGGACGTTGGGTGTGGGGATGTTGAACATGAGGGGTGTGGGGCGGGTGGTCAGTGTGGTTTGGGGACACTGGGTTTGGGGACATTGGGTGCGGGGACCTTGGATGTGTGGGGTGTGGAGTGGGAGGTCAGCGTGGTTAGGGGACATTGGGTTTGGGGACATTGGGTGTGTGGGGTGAGTGGTCAGTGTGGTTTAGGGGACATTGGGGTGTGGGGTGTGGTCAGTGTGGTTTGGGGACATTGGGTTTGGGGACATTGGGGTGTGGGGTGTGGTCAGTGTGGTTTGGGGGACGTTGGGTCTGGGGACATTGGGGT